CGATAGGCAGGGGTGGGGGCTAGGAGGGAGCTGAGTGGGAGGGAGGAAATGGGACAGTAGGAGAAACGCAGGTGTGGGAGGGACGTTCGAATAGGTTGGGGACAGAAGGGTTATGACGCTGGATGGGTTTCAGGGAATTGCTTAGGACGTTAAGAAGAGGTGTCTGTGGGCCAAGGAGGGCCTAGAGCAGGCGTTTTGTGGAGAAAGGGCGTGGAAACTTGGAAAGATGTGCGCATCGTGCCCTCCCCCGACAGGCAGCAGGGCATGGCGATGGCCCCTCTTGCTCACCCTTCCCGGATGACCGCCTCCGCTCTGAATGGACAGCAGTCCCCAAAGCCCTTCCGTGGGTTCCCAGCCTGGCTGCCACACTCTGACCACCACCTCTTGCCACCCTCCCCCACCTGCCATGGCCCAGCGCAAGCCGACCCCCTCCCCCCCTCCCCCACTTCGGGAGGGACCTGACCTGGGGCTGATCACATCCGGGGCACCCTGGAAGCTTTCCTGAAGCTTGCTCTCCAGCCCGACGCCCACCTTGACCAAGTAGGAAGCTGGGTCCACGGCGCAGGCCCAGTAGCTGCGGCCCTGGGTCACGGCCACGTCCCCCAGGACCACATCCACACTCAGGTGACATCCAGTCAGCAGCCTCTCGGCCGCCAGCAGCAGGGGCAGCCCAGGGACGCTCCGCACCGCGCGCTGGTCCTTGCTGATGGCCAGCCGCTCTCGACCTGCACCCCAGCGGCCATCGAGGAAGAAGTGCAGGACTGTGGGGAGTGGAGGGGTTGAGACAGAAGGGCTTCAGGGACGCCCATGGGCCCTGGGGACTGTGAGGTGTCAGCACAGGACCCTGGGAGACTTCAAAACTGGGCACAAGTTGCAATGTGATTCAGTCACCAGGCATGGGCAGGGTGCAGGGGGACGGGGCCTGGGAGCTGGCCTGGGGGCATAAAGAAAAAAGAAGGGGAACCCCCAAAGGGCATGGGGCCCCAGGAAGAGTTTTAGTGGCAGCTGGTGAGCCAGGAGACCTGCCCCCTCATAGGCCCCAGGGTGCGGGGCTTCCCCAGCCCCTCACTCTAGCCCTGCTCACACTCGGCCCGCTGCTTCTCACCCCAGGGCCAGAAACGGCACCCACCCACTACAGACGCCATCTCCCACCTCATTGGACTCCACAACCCTAAGGAGCCAGTGGGAGCCAGACGGGGCTTTGATTATCATGAAACCCACAGGCCGGGAGAACCGGCCCTCTAGCATCGCTGTGAGTCTGAGTCGGGCGGCAGTGAGAGTGGGGGTGAGGGAAGAGGTGTCATGTGGGGACTTCAAAAAGCGCGTGGGGAAAAAGTCCCACGATCTTTGACCTCATTCCACTTTCCACGCACGTTCTGGCGCCCCGGCTCAGGCGGCCACCTCCTGTCTTCATACGAGGCCCCTGGAGCGCACAGCGGGGTTAAGTGGTGTGTCCAGAGCCACGCAGCAGAGCTGGGGCACCAACCCAGGCACCGGCTTGCTCCGCAGCTACGGTGTGCGACCCTGCCCGCAGCGCCCGCCCCAGCGGCCGGCCGGCTCGCTGGTCCCGGGCTCACTCACTCACCTGGCGCAGGGGGCGTGTGCAGGTGCACGTCCTCGCTGTACTCGCCGTAGCCGGCCTTGTTGCAGCCGCGGACGCGCAGCACGTACACAGAGCCCGTGTCGGGGTTCTCCAGCAGGGCGCTGGTGCCCCTCACCTCCTCCCGCCGCTGCCAGCGGGTGGGACCCGGCTGGGGTGGCACGTCTGTGCGCCGGAACTCAATGGTGTAGTGCCAGGCAGGCGGCGAATGAGGGGGCAGCCGCCAGCACAGGAAGATCTGGTCGTAGGCGAAGGTGCGCTGGGTGTCGATGACCGGCGCCTCCGGCACTGCAGGGAGAACGGGCGGGTGGGGTCAGTCAGGGCCTGGCCTTGGGGTGGCATGGAAGGTGGGGGGAGGCAGGGACAGGGCAAGCAGCGGGAGCCGGGGGGTGAGTGCGAGTGAGGGGGCTGGGCCCAGGGCACAGCCAGGAGGGGCAGAGCCCCAGGGGAGGGAGAGAGCAGGGGGTGGGGAGGGGGGCAGGAGAGCACTGAGAGACGTGGGGTGGTCTGTGTTCTAGGTCTGCCACTATCTTGTTCCAGCCTTCCGCAGGTCACTTTCCCTCCCTGACCCTCAGTTTCCTCCACTGTCAGATTGAGGGGATGAGACCAGATAAGTCTTGGGGTCCCTCCACCTTTGACATTCTAGGCCTACAGAGGCACCCCGGGAGATGCAGGCAGAGGCCCCTGGAACCCAGGCAAGAGGGCGCTGAGCAGGAGGAAGGGAGGCGATGAGGAGGGAGAGACAGGTGTGAGCAGGATGGAGAGTGGGGAGATGACAGAGGGAAAGCAGGAGCTGGGTGTGTGTGGGGGGGTGCGAGGTGGAGGTCAAGGGCAAAGTCGGGGGAAGTCCAGAGGGCAAAGGTCACAAAAGCAGCAGGGAGAAGCAGAGGGGGGGGGGAGGCAGAAGGGAGACAGTGGGCAGTTGTCCAGGGGGGAGGCCCGAGAGAGGGCTGGGGAAGGTGGGAAAGAAGGAGGCAATGAGTGGGATGGGGGCGGCAGGACCCCCGGGCAGGGCCGCTGACTTGCCTGGGTGCTCCGGAGCAGTCTGCGGTGGCCACAGCCTACAAACAAAGAGACGGAGAAGCGGCGCTGAGCGCGGTGGGGCTGGGGCGGTGTGGCAGGGTGGGCTGGGTGGGAAGGGGGAAAGGCCAGGAAGGTCCCCGGTGGGCACTGCCCTGCCCCCCGGGCCCGCTGCTGGGGAGGGAGGGAGGAAGGCTGTAGTTGGGTATGGGGCCTGGCCACCTCCTCACCTCGCAGGAAGTTAAGCTCCGTCAGCAGCTTCATCTCACGGGCCACGTCCAGCTGGCAGTGGCGGAAGGAGGAACTGGCCGCTGGCCGGAAGGTCTGGAGGACCTCAGTTGCTCGGGCGATCCTGTGGGAGGGGCGGGTGGGGGTCAGGTCCAGCCTGGTGGGCAGCCACCCTCCCCCTTTGAGTCTTCCTTGTCTGCCCCGAGGGCCCTGGCATCTGTCTTGGGTTTCTGCTCGGCTCCTTAAGGGTAAGCGGGGCATCAGTTTGGTCTTATGACAATACCCAGGGCCCCCAGCTCTCCTCCTGGCAACCAGTATTCTTGACACCATCTTAGATGTTGGCTACACCCAGAATTCCCCTGAAGGCTAGAAGCCCACCCCCCCATCTCGCGCGACAGGCCCCAGGTACCTGTTGTGCAGCTGCTTGGCTGCTTGCACAAAGCAGGGCTGGTCTGTTTCCTTAAGGACCTCCTGGGCGTAGCCCACCAGCCCCGAGCCATCCAGCAGGCTCCGGTGCTCCTGGATCTGGGCGCTGAGGCGGGCCAGCCGCTCCTGCTGGCATTCCTCAATGGCCTGAAGCAGTGATGCCCGCTTCTCCTCCAGCACAGCCCCCAGCCCCCGCACCAGCTGGGATACCTCTTCCCTGGCCTGCAGGCCACTCACCTGCCCAAAGAGAAACAGCCATAGGGGCCTGACTTCCTGTGTCCTTTTGAAGGCAGCACAGCAAGCACCGGTGCCAGCCTCCTGGGCACCACACCACAGCTAAGGTCACAAGTGACGGGAAGGGCCTATACACCCATCCCAGTAGGAGCAGGTGCTTGATGACCCCAGTGGGTTCACCCCCTGACCATTTGTGCTGAGCTTTCTGACCCATTAAGGAGCCCCAGACGGAGCACTCGTGTCCGCTGGCCACTGTGCCATCTCACTGCCATCCTGGGTCAGCCAGCTCTCGATCTGGCAGGAGGTATCAGAGCCTCACTCTGGTTCCCACGCCAGGCACATGTGCCGTCCCAGCAGGCAGCTGGGCCTGCGGGCTCTGGAGCAGAGTCCCTGGGGCTTTCTGTGCTCTCCCTGCCCTGAGCTGCAGCGGGCCCTACCCCCAGTGCAGCCCCAGGCACAGCCTGACCCAGGGCACCAACGTTCTTGCCAACCAGGTTTCATGAGAACTTTACCACTCATGAGCCTCCCCCTCCTCCGGGCTTCCTGAACCTGCAACCAGGTGACTGGGCTGAACCCACTGGCACCTGCTCCTGGCACACTCCCAGGCCCTGGGTCCACATCCACGGCCTCCCTCACCTCTGTGTGCCTCACGGTCTCCTCTAGCTCACAGATCTGGGTCTGCACCGTGTCCTGATTTCCCAGGATGTATGTCAGGCTCTTTGTCAGCTTGTCCTGAGGGGGAAGAAAGAGGTGGGCATCATGCCCGGCCTGGCAGAAACCCGGAGTGGGAAGGTGGTGCTGAGGGGGTCAATGTGTTAGCACTGGGGTTTACTGAGCAGGGGCCCTCACCTTGAGGGCCTGATAGGCGCTGAGCACCGGTGTGATCTTGTGCCCACTGTGGGTACGCCGCACGCGGCAGAGTTGGCATACAAGCCGCTGGCACGTCTTGCAGTAATGGGTCACCTCTTCCTTGTGGTCTGGGCACATCAGGCCCTAGGGGCATAAAGAGCAATAAGACAGTCAGCCAGCCAGTGGCATAAAGGTCTGACCTACCCACAAGAACAAGTTGGCGCGCTCGCCCACACGGGCAGGTGCAGGTAGAGGGGTGTTCTGGCTAGTGGTGCTTCACAGCGCCACCTGGTGGTGGTACACACCAGCAGCCAGGAGAGCCTTTCCTGCTGTCCTGGGCAATGTCCACTTATTTCATCAGCAGGGCACAGCACCTCCCTTCCTCTACCTCCTGGGGGCGGGGGGTGGTGCTGTATGGTAGTGACAATGAGGAGAAGGATTAATCGTGGCTTTACAGTTAATAATTAACCTCGCCCATTATCCTGGCTGTATCCACAGAGCCTAGAACAGCATGGAGCAAATAGGTGCTCAATAAATATTTGTTCAAGGAAATGAATGTGTCCAGCCCTTCTCAGACCTTTCACAAACATTATCTCAGCGTTCTCTCAACTCTCTACAGGCAGAGATAGACCTTGCAGGGCAGATACCATCAGGGCTTGCAGGGGAGATGGAGGCCCAGCTTGCTGATGCTGGTTACAGAGCACCCCTGCAGGCCTTTGCAAATGCTCCGCTCCCTGCTGCTCCCAGAAACCAACCGGCCCCCACCCCTCTGCCTTCCCTCCTTAGGTTCTGACTTACCTTGGGGCGGAAGGAGAGGCTGGGCAGGGTGGGCTCATGCTGGGCCTTCTGGGTGCCCCAGGGGTGGAAGAGCTTGAAGCACTCATTGCAGAAGGTGGCTCGGCACTCCGCACAGCCCTTGGTGGCCTCCAGAGGAGGGGGCTTGCACAGTTGGCACAGGATGGCACCGCCCACACTCACACTCTGCCGGTACCGCTCCACCACCCGCTCCAAAGTCAGGTTCCGGAAGAGTCCCGCCAGGCCCCTCTCCCCCAGTTCCACATCACCCTGGCAGGCTGGGCACGGGAACACGATCACCTGGGGGTGCAAAGCGCCTCGCTTCCGCCCCGGGTATGTCCCAAAGCCTGTGGACGGGGCCAGGGAGAGTGTCACAGGTGGCTGGGTGGGAACATGTTCACATCCGTTTTAAAAATTAGATTTGTCTGGTAGGAGTCTGGAGGAGCAGCATCCCCACCCCCAGAAAGACAGTCGGATGCCCCTGACCAGTGATGGGCCCCTTCTCTCTTCCTCAGAACATCGGAACACCCAACCAACCCCCACCCTGCCTCAGACCCTAGCCCCACCTGACTTAAGCAGCCGGTCCAGGCGATCTGGTTTGGGGAGAGTCCTGCGGGAAAGGCGGGGGCTGCGGGTGGACGGGGTCGACGCAGGAGAGGTAGGCTCCGAGCTGGGGTCCCCACCATAGCCCACATAGCCCTGCTGGCCCAGCACCTCCCGGGCACAGGCCTGGCAGACGTTGTGGGTACAAGGCAGCACCAGTGGCTGCTTGTACATCTCTTGACACACTGGGCACAGCAGTTCCTTCTCCATGTTCTTCATGCTCGTCTGTGGAAGGACCAGGGGGGAGGCCATTGGGGGGGGCGCACTCCGCGGGGCAGGACCCTAGGCTGCCCTTAGGGGCTCCAGGGGTCTCTGGAAGGAGCGAGACAAATAGCTTCTCCCCGGCACTGCCCCTGTCAGACCTGGCCGGCCCTCTAGCTCCTTCTCCATTTCCCTCTGGCCAAGTGCCAGGCCCCTCGAGGCGCAGGGCAGGAGGGAGCACGAGCCCCACTCCCCGCCACTCCCGCTGCTGCAGTCCAGCACGCACCTCCACACCTGGCCTTGATCCCATCCCCCCACACCTGGTCTTGATCCCATCCCCCATGCCCAGGCCGCCCGCCCCGCGCTCCTCTCAAGGACACCGCCCATTCCGCAGATGGGCGCGGACCCCCACCCCCTTGGCGACAGCCCCCCTCAAGACGGCTGCTCACAGCCACACGCCGCTTGCTCTCCGCACTGCCAGCTCGCCCCATCCGTCCTCCCGCCGCCGCCGCTCCGGCCTGCGGCCGCCCAGCCACCACTCATCTCCCCTTTTCTCCCCTGCCTCCTCCAGTCCCGACCCAGCCCAGTCCCCGGCGCCCCACTCCCATCTCCAGTCCTCCCGCCCCCTCCGGCGGGCGACAACCCCCTCCCCACGCTAGGGGGAGACAGGCGCCCCACCGACTCGCCCCCTCCCCACCGGAAGTACCCCTCCCCCTTTTGTGGCAGGGGGTGTCCGCAGGCTCTGCCCCACCCCTCCACACCTCACCTTGATCCCTCTCTTCGCAGCCATCCCGGTCAGGGGCGCAGCTGACACAAAGGAGGGAGGGGCAGGGAGGGAGGTGGAAGGAAGTGGTGGGGGGGAGCAAGGTTGGCACCGCCCCTGGGAGAGCCGGGCACCGGTTGTCAAGACAACCGCGGGCTCCGAGGCGGCCCCCGAGTGGGGGTGCGGTGCGGTGGGGTCTTCAAGAAGGTCCAAATTGGGGACAGCACCCTGGGGAGTATCCTTCATCGCACCCCCACGTGTCCTGAGTTTTTAATTTTCCAAGCTCCACACGCCCCTCTTCCTAGCAGAGCCCCCTCCTCCGCCACCCAGCCCCAGCCCGGGTGCACAGCTGGCCGCCATCCCAGCCCACCCGCCGCGACTGGGCAGCTCCTAGCTCCTCACACCCCGGCACAGACGCCTCTGAGCAGCCCGGGATTACTCTCACACCTGCACCCGGATTTCTGATTTCCGCGTCGTCAGCCCCTTCGACACCCGGCACACATCCCAGCATCTCCCCGAATCCAAATCCACACCTGTCCCAGGTTCCGGCCTGCCCCGGACCTCCCTTGCCCCTCGACCCCACCTCAACTTACACTGATGCGGACCAGTGCGTCCATGATGGAAGTGAAGGTCTGCATCTCGTCACCCTCGGCCATGGCCCTACCGTCCCCGCCGCTGCCCGCCCGTCCCTAGGTGCCCGGTCCTGGCTGCGGCTGCGAACCCTGGGCTTAATACAGGCACCCAGTGGGGGTGTAGGGAGGGGTGGGGGTGAGATGTCACTGCGCATGCTCCAGGGACTCGTCTGGACCAGCGCCCGTGGGGTAGGGGGGTGGGAAATAGTTCTCCCCACGTGGTTCTCCGAAGGCGGTCGGGGGGTTGGGTATCATGGAAGAGTATTTGAGTGGGTAGCCATTTCTTATGTTCGCATCCTTCACTGGACGCTAATGGAAAGCGGGAGGCTAGTTCCAGAGCAAGATGGGTTCCGGGGTGCATTGGATTTGGGCTTGGGCAAGAGTCCACGGGAGATGCTCAAGCAATGATCATGCTCAAGCAATGATCATGGAGGATGGAGGTTTGGAGAACAGTCACTGGGGGAGACATGAATGGCAAGGAAGGCAGAGTCGCAGACGTGAGGGGATGAGCCCTGAGCTCAGTGACTCGAAGAGACGAAGCGCGGTTCGCCCTCAGAAACAAGCAGATGCACTTGGGTACCGCGAAAGGCGGAGGACTTGGGCGGTGGCCCAGGATGCTCTTCAACGTCCAGGAGCTCCTCCCGTCCGCTAGAGGGCGCTGCGTCCTGGAGCCGCCCAGGAGAACGAGGAGGCTAGGGAGGCGAAGGCTGCGTTTGGATGACGCATGCGCACTGCCAACGACACCCGGTTCGGCTCGGGCACTTCGTTGGCCAGCGGCACCGACTGGACTCCCCGGCAGGCCATGATGGGTACCGGGACTGCCGAGATCCCCGGGGCGGACTAGCGGGGGCCGGAGTCGGGGCGGGCCGGTTCCTCCCCCTTCCTGCAGAGCTGACGTGTCCTCAAGTCTAGGGAGCGGGCGTTTCCTTGGGAAGGGTGCCGGGCGTCCGGGGCTGGGGAGCCCATCAGGACCGCTGCACAGTGGGGGAAATTGAAGAGTGAGTGTGGCTGCAGCCCCGGAAGGTGGACGGACCGGCCGAGCCCTCTTGCCGGGGGGCTGGAGCTGACTCTGCCCCTCTTCTCGCCCCACTTCCAGTGGTGGGTACAGGCACGTCGCTGGCGCTCTCCTCCCTGCTGTCCCTGCTGCTCTTCGCTGGGATGCAGATGTACAGCCGCCAGCTAGCCTCCACAGAGTGGCTCACCATCCAGGGCGGCCTGCTGGGCTCCGGCCTCTTCGTCTTCTCCCTCACTGTATCCTCCCCAGGCGAGCGGGAAGGGGGGTGTGAAGGTGTGTGAAGAGGGGGCGCCACCGCCCTGGCTCCGCGCCCTGGTTTCTTGCCCTACTCCTTAACTCTCGAAACCCAGGCCTTCAATAACCTGGAGAATCTTGTCTTCGGCAAAGGATTCCAGGCAAAGATCTTTCCCGAGAGTAAGTGCAAAGTGAGGGGGATCCTCTCCTCCCTAGCGCCTCCACCCCACCCCACCCCCAACTAAAACCCACGCTCACTGCCACATAGTGACCCTATGGGACAGGTAGGGTGCCTCTGTGAGGCTCTGAGACTGCAACTCTTTAACTCTTCACCAGAGCAGAAAGCCCCGTTTTTCTCTCCCAGAGCGGACCTTTCCAAACCTGGCCCCACACATGCAGCCTCCTTACTACCTCATTACCACTCCGTATTTAATGTGCAGGGCGCCCTGGTGGTGTAGTGGTTACCATTGGGCTGCTAACTGCAAGGTCAGCAGTTCTAAACAGGCATCTGCTCTGCAGGAGAAGGTGCAGCCTTCAACTCAGTCTCAGAAACTCACAGGGCAGTTCTACCCGGGCTCTTAAGTGTGGCTATAAGTTGGCATCAACTAGATGGCAGCGAGCTTTGGTGTGAGATCGAAAAGGCTGCTGTTGCTCTTGAGTTGATTCTGGCTTGGGGAGACCCCATGTGTGCTCCACAAGCGTCTTACGGCTGCCACCTTTTGGCAGCCAATTGCCAGGCTTGTGAGACACCGTGGGTGGGGTTGGACCACCAACCTTTCTGTGGGTGGCCCAGCATGTACCCATCTGTGCCCCCTCGGGATGCCAAAGGTGGCTGAGGGGAAGGAAGTAAAAACTGTCTGCAGACTTTTAGACCCAGGACCTTGCCTAGCTTTTGGTACTGGACGAGATGGCCTCTGATCGGCTCACTGGGCGGTTTCAGGAGAACAAGCCAGTTTGGGCTGATTCTGCTTATCCATCCAAGGGTGGGACTCTCCCCTTCTTACCAGAAGAAACAGGGCTGAGTTTAGAGAGTGGGTGGGGGTGACAGGGATGCTTCTCAAGCCAATTTTCGTGAATTCCATTGTGTGGAGTGTCATTCAGGCCATCTGAAGCCTTCTTATCATTGTCATGCCATGCCCTTCCAAGCAGGCCCCCCCCAGATTCAGAAAGTCTCAGGTTTCTCCTGCCACTTCCGCTCTAACCACTGTGTTTTGGTCCCCTCTTGCCTCCCTAGTTCTCCTCTGCCTCTTGTTGGCTCTCTTTGCATCTGGCCTGATCCACCGAGTATGTGTCACCACCTGGTATGTGCCCGGCAGCTGGGGAAAGGGTGCAACTCCCTGGCCTTTGACACTGGACCCTGCCAGGCCTTCTTCCCGAGGGCTCCCTCCCTGCACCACCACCCCTTTATCCTTGCCCATTTTCTTAAGCCTGAACCTGGATTCTTGCCCGAGGCTGGTGTCCACCCTGGGAAGCACCGGGCTGGGCGAGTGCCCACTGATGACTTGAGCCTCTTTCTGTCTTCACCTCACAGCTTCATCTTCTCCATGGTTGGTCTGTACTACATCAACAAGATCTCCTCCACGCTGTACCAGGCAACAGCGCCGGTCCTCGCCCCGGCCAAGGTCACGGGCAAGGGCAAGAAGAGAAACTGACCCTAAATGTCCAATAAAGTTGATTCTTTGTAGTTCTGCGAGCGGTGCGCCGTGAGGGGCCTCCCCTGCCAATGTCTGCCTTGGGTTTGACAGTTCTCGGTGCAGCTGACAGCTGCTTCAGGTTTTCAGACCTTGAAGGGGGGCAGGTGGGGGGGCACAAGGGGCCTTTCCCTCTAGGTTGTTCACCAGACATTTATTGGGTGCCATCCGCGCCTGGCACTTTGCCAAACTGTGCAGTGGCATGCGCTGGAGTGACACCCCTCCCATCGTGGAAGAAAAGGACACAGCTGACCTGTGGTCTGGACCCGGTGAAGTCCTGCCCATCAGGACTGGATAGACCCAGGGAGGGAAAATAAGAAGAGGAAAAGCCTGCCACCCCTGCACTGTGCCCGTCATGGGGTTCCTTTTGCCCCCTGCGGGCAATCTGTGACCCCAAGTCTACCTTGAGCTAATTCATGTCCCTCCTGCCTGTTCTGCCTTCATCCCCATGTGGGAATTCCCAGCTGAAGCTCACACCCGGGCAGGGGTCACCCCCAGGTCGATCACCACCCATGCTTCACCTTCTGATACCTTCATTTTTCTGCTGTGTCTCAGCCAGGACGTAAGATACGTCCTAAATGTCAACCAAGCTTGCAACACTTCAGGGGCAAGGCTGCCAACTGCGGAGCCAGCCTGTGTCTGTGCAAACACGAAGGTGACTGCTGGGGCCCACTGGTCAGTGCTCTCCCAGGAGGAGTCCCTCCGTCTGGGGTGCCTGTCATTCAAGAAACCTAGGCACCCTCTTTCCTGCCGGCACATTGCCGCACATGGGCGGTGAGCAAAGGGGTGGTTTAGGGAACACATCCCTTTCTAGAATGGACTCCTGTACTAAGAGAGGCACCTGTGTTAGGGAAGAAGATGACCAAGTGAAAGTAGTCCCCGTCATGGGTGGGGGGCACCCCTCTTTCCTGCCTTTGTGGCCGGAATCCTAGATCTTTCCATCACGGGGCTGACAGTGTTGTGCAGTTTCCCTGTCTGCCTGCAGAGGGCGGCACGGGCCCACATCTGTGTCCAAGGGCGCGTGCAGGAGGACCCTGAAAGCCCTGGCTCGGAAGCCTGCAGTCTTGAGGCCCGGGAGGGAAGCGGTGCAGGGCTCCGCAGGCTTGCAGAACTGGCCGTCCGTTCCCTCGGGCCTGGGCGTGGGAGCAGGGCTCGTGGAGAACTGAACTGCCACGACAATATCGCAGTTCCGGCCTCGGGCTCACCTGGGATGGGGGTGAAGGGCGTGCGGGATGGGGGAACCTCTGAAAGAGAAGAGGCTGTGCCTCTTAAAGCGAGTGGCCCCGCAGAAAGCCTGACTCGGTTCTGGGTCTCACTTTGTGGAACCTCGATCTTCTCCTCGCCTGGGCTGGGAGCAGAGGGCTAGCCGAGTAAGACGCAGCCTGGGGAGGAGGCACCGTGCCTCGCAGGAGTGGGCGTGGGTGGACCCAGGAGGGCAGGGAGGCGCTGGGAGCAGGTGCTGCTCCACTGCCTGGCGTAATGACCCCTTCCTCTCGGACTGGGCGCATTTACAAGGCAGGTTGGCGCCTTCCTTGACTCTCCACCCAGCCTATCTCTGGGCTGCGTGGTTGCAGGCCGCTAATTACCCCTGGCAGGGGGATCACGGCCACCTAATCACCATCATTAAGTAAGGGGGGGG